TCACCTTGTTTTTTAGATGCAGGAAATTTTGTTCTCTTAATTGTCTGTGATACCACATTACTACCTTGCCTTCTTTTGTTTTTGTGCAGATAACAAAAAAGCTCCTAACAAGGAAAACAAGCACCGTGCCATGGATGATATTAAAGAAAGCATAAGAGAACTCAAATACTACAAGGACAACATTTTTAAAGGGAGGTCTAAAAAGTGAACAGAACAAGTGGAGGAATTATATATATTTGATGGATATTTCATCCAATACTGTCATTGTTGACACTAGACCTCAGTCTGTCAATGGTTTCATCTAGACTGATATTTATTGACTAGGTGGAACCTGCTATATAGTTTTTTCCCATCGAAATGTTTCTGTACTACAGAGATATCATGTAGTTGGAATTCACTTTGGGACAGTACATTGTAATGATTCTAGGTATAAATGATTGTTGTCAATTTACTACAGAGATTTCATAGGTTGTTGTTGCTGCAGGCATGCAACCCCTAGCTAAAGTGTAGGTGCTGCATGGAACTCTATTTTAGAGCACAGCAGGACACTTTTATGGACAGTTTGCACTTGCAACGTAAACAACCTTGTGTTGAACATTAGAACTGTATGATGAGACCCTTTAGGAGGGGGAGTGGGTAGCAGTAACATTTGAGCTTGTTGAGAGAGCACGCAAATTTGTAAGCTATTAGAGAAGTTCTAACACAAACTGTATTGGTCAGTCAGTGGATGGGAAAACTTAAAGAGAAGAAACGGTTTTTAGTCCCACACTACTAGCAAAGCTATAAGGCAAAAAGAACAAACACTGAAACATGTCTAAATCCTTGCAACAAGTCACAGGACGAAGTGGTTGGGTCAGGGCTTCACATTCAATCTTTTGGAATGGGTGTGGGTTCAAGGCTCAGGAAAGTCCCCGGGCCGTAATCCGTAGAAATTACGGGCTCGGAAACGAGTTCTACTTCTTGCGCGGTAATCAATCACGGCCTTCGGGCTGTGGGGGCAGAGACGTGTGTGGAGCCTTTGGTACTGCCTGGAGTATATTAGCCGATTAACACAGTTATCCACTTGGTCCTAATTGGACTAACTGAACGGGGATTACGATCCTGTGACTACACCTTTTTGCAGATGCTATGCTACCACTGACAGTTGCCGAGTCTAACCCAAAAATGCTCTTAAAGCTGCAATAATTTGTACTCTGGGTGATGGGTAGCTTCCAAGGTACGCGCGATTGCAAATAAATATTTGGTGTGGGATGAACAGATACAAGCATGGAAGCTGAACTTCACAATACTATTGGCTAATGGAGAGATTCCTCATCTAGCTGAATTATGACCATCCGGACGGTGACCAGGGAAAATGAAGAGTAATAGCAGGGTTTTGGGATGATGGGAGGTCTACTTTCTATCCTAAACATATATATGAACTTAGAGAAAAGAAGAGACACCACCAACAGCTTGGCTTCTCTGATTCCCTTGCGAAATGGTATGAAATCACAGCTTCATCTAAAGTTTGTTTCTTGTAAGGACATATACAATCACACTCTCACTACTGACATTCTGCGGAAGAGGAGTAAAATTTTACCATATTAGTTTATCATGCGTAAACAAGAGGAGAATCCATCATTCATCTATTCTTCAAATATGATTTTGCAAACTCAGTTGGCCTTTCTTTTACTAGCATTCTGATATCAGAAATTATGAGATGGAAGAATCTCGGAAACTCTGTAGAGGATGACCAGGGGTAGAATAACTCAAATTGCTGGGATGCTATCAAATGTTATATTCATGCAATGACATGGTGCCTATGGCACAAACGAAACAGCAGGGTTTTCCAAGATAAGATGGCCACAGCAGGACAAGAAAATTGACAGAATACAAACAACGAACAAACATCAATCCTCAAATGTCCATGCATTATAAAATTGTCTTATAACAATACACTTCTCAATCAAACTATCAAAGATATGTCAATTAAGAGTAAAACAACAACTACAAGAACAAAAGAATGTGAAGACATATGACATGAGGTTTAAAAACTATGAGTCCCTAACCTGAAAGTAACGGACAACATGTTGATGTTGCAGTGTGGCTACCTCCCTGAGTATCTTGTCAAGTAGCAGATATCACCGAAGTTAACTAAATGCATGACAAATTGATTACATATCCAATGATAAATAGTACTGAAAAGACAATGTGAATTTCAGTAAACAACATATCATTATCACGAAAACACGGTTTTCCTTTCTTACATATTCCTTAACAGAAATATCTGACAATAAATCGCAACAGAGAAAACCAAAATACAGTAACTAAACCTCACATTAGCTAGTATCATTAAAGCAAATATTTAAAATCAAGGCATTGTATCATGATTCTACCCATAAATAATAAGAAGTTGTGTATAGACTCTAAATGGAGGAGCTTGAACCGGGTAGGGGCTGGCTTCTCAACGGGGCCCCATTTTTCAAGACACAAAAGAAATTGGCCGAGACTCTTCTTTGTCTATGAGACACTTTCCTGCATACTCGGCCATCTCAACATTCCCGTGGGTCTTGCAGGCTGAAAGAAGGGCACCCCAAAGGCTTGTCGTGGGCTGTAGTGGCATCTGAACAATGAAATCTCTAGCATCCTTGAAATGGCCCCCACGTCTAAGGATATCAACCATGCAAGCATAGTGCTCTCCACTAGGAATGATCCCATATCTGAACTCCATGCTATTAAACTGTTTCCACCCTTTGTTGACTAGTCCAGCATGACTACATGCATTGAGAACCCCTATAAATGTAACGTGGTCAGGGATTAAACAAGGCAAGTGCAGCTTTGGCATTCCCATACACTGCAAATCCCTGAACCATTGTGTTCCAGGAAACAACATCACGTTCAGGCAGACAACTAAATAACTGCTCGACATACTTCAGACATCCACATTTGAAATGCATGTCTACAAGGGCATTGGGGACCATTAAGTCTTCATCATCAAGTCCATTTCTTACAATATAACCATAAATTGATTTTCCATGTGATAAGGTGACTGCCTGTGCACAGGCTGGTAGGATGCTGGCAATAGTGATAGAGTTGGGTCTCAATCCTTCTAGTTGAAGTTCACGGAAATGCTTTAGACTTTCATCCACCAACCCATTATGTGCATAACTTGAAACCATCGTAGTCCAGGTAATTATGTTGCCTGCTACCCCTGTTTTCTCATTTCAAGGAATGTTATTGAAGCTTCGTTGACATGTTTGTTTTTCGCAAGAACTGAAATAATTGTGTTCCATGACACCATATCCTTACTATCCATTGACTCAAAGAGATTGACGGCATAAGCTACATCTCCACAGTTACCGTACATGTTTATGAAGGCAGTGCAAACAAATTTGCTCATTTCACCTTCATTTCTTAAAAACGTGCAGTGCAGCTGCTTCCCTGTCATTAAACAGGTATTATATTGTATTAATGGAATGATGATATCAAAACTCCGTAGATTGGGGTTCTGGTTTGTCCATATCATATCACTATACATCTGCAGAGCTGAGTTGAAATCGCCAACATCAATAAATCCAGCAATTACTGTGTCCCAGCTGAGTAAATTGGGTTTTATACCAGCCTTCCGTATTGAATGAAATAGTTCTAACACTTTGTTTGTATACCTGTTGTAAGCATAGCATTCCAGCAATTCAAATCTTTTACATTGAGGGACTTGAAAACCTCTTGTGCAGCTTCAGTATAAGAAAATTTGGAAGACATTCGTATCAGGGCAGCTACCACAGAATTGTACATATGGAGTTCCTTGGCCTGTTTGATGTCATCAATATGCTCGCACATGTGATCCAATAAATTTGCAGATACTATACTCGAAGCCAACCCCATATATTCCAAATTGTGAATCAGATCGAGAACACCTCTGTTTTGAAGATAAAGATGTGTAATGCACTCCAAAGTTATTTTGTTTGGAACTATGCCATTCATAAGCATCCCATTGAACAATTCCATTACCTCGTCAATAAGCCCGAGTTGAACATTCCCCTTGAGCATTATATTCCAACTCACAACATCCCTTCCCCTCACTCTATCGAAGATAAGCCGGCCATACCCCAATCCACTACAATTTGCATACATGTCAATTAGGGAAGTGCCACAATATTTACCATAGCCACAACCAAAAGCAATAGCCAATCCATGAATCCGTTTTGCCATGTTCAAACAACCTAAACCAGAAAATATAGGAAAAATTCCAGAAAAGGTTGCTGACTGAGGTCTAACCTCGGAACACATCATTTCTTTGAAGAGTTCCAATGCTTATTCTCCATAACCCAATTGCACATACCCAACCAAGTAAAGATATCTTTAACATCACATTCATTAAAAACTCTTTCAGCATCCCACAAACTCTCACATTTCGCATACATATCTACAAGGGAATTCATTATGAACAATTCCCACTGAAATCCAATCCTTATAATATGAGCATGAATGCGGCCACCTCTTCTTAAATCCTTCATCCCTGCACATGACTTCAACACTATAGGATAAAAAAAATGATCTGTTTTAATTCCAGCCAAAATAATTTTTTCATAAAAATCAACTGCCTTGGCCACATCACCACTATTTGAATAAACTCCAATAATCGCTGTCCAAAAGAGAATAAATTTCTCTCACTCATTTCATCGAACACTTTCTGTGCAAGTTTAAAACTAAATTGTACTATGAATTATGTGTTGATGAATCTCTCTGCCTCTCCCAAAAGCCTTGAACTTGATGCAAGAACGAATAAGGGGTAGGTAGAATTCGGAATCCAATTGAAAAGAATTGGGGTTTGGGATTTGACGAAGAAGTTGAATAGCATCGTCGACTCGACTCGACCTAGTATTGATTTGATAGCTGAGAAATCTGTTTTGCAAGACATGATCGTGAAAATTGCCATGTAGAATAGGTTATGTGTAGAGACTTAAAACCGTTGCATAGTTGCATGTGTTATTGATAGATTATATAGCTTATGAAAATGAGCAGAGTGAAGGATTTGAGAATGAGAAGATACTAAAATTTATGGCAAGGATGCATTTTATTGATAGATTATATATACTTAGGTGGAAGAAGTAGCAGCTCTGTCTCGGTGGTGGTGACTGACTGACTGGTGACTCGGACTTCTATTTTGGTTAAGGGTATAATAGTAATCGTATATTTCAGATATTTATTTATTATTATCGTAAATTATGTAGAACGAACAAAGTCAATCTGTCAAATTTCTGTTTTTGAGCAGACACAAACACAACAAACATGGCTTCTCTAATAACAAACCCTCTAATCTCTCTCCCAAAATCAAAATCAAAATTTGGGTTTTGTTCAGAAAACCAATTTCTCACACATACTCTAAACCTAAAAAAACCTGTGAACTATGGAAAAAAGTATACTTCACTCACTATTATCTCTAAAGCAGTATCTGTTAAATCTCAAACTGAGATTGAAGGTCTTAACATAGCTGAAGATGTCGGCCAGGTACACAATTCATCACTTTAACAACTCAATTCTTCACTAATTTGAGTGAAAAATCGAATTCTTTGTTGTTGTTATTGTTGTTTTTAGCTTAAATGGGATTCATGTTTACTGCAATTACTTTGTTAATTTACTAAAAAATGTATTCATGAAAGTTTTCATACACATTTTATGTGCATGCTCTTAAATATTACAACATAGGGTTCTGAAATCAAATGGAAGTGTGTGTGTGTGTGTTAATGGCGATATGGCATATATGACTGTTAAAATTGAGGTGGGCATTCATGAATTTTATCATTTTTGTTAGTTGGAAGTACAGGTTATATTTGAATCTATCTCTGCAGTTCATCCATAGTGTTACAAGGGCTGGCATGTTTCTGAATCAGACCATCCTCTGTTAGGAGTTTAGGCAAGCAGTGTATCATCCCATACACAGAATACTCATTTTGATGTGTCGTCAGACTCCTTGACATTACTCACCTATTAGGCATCAACAACTTGAATCCTATTTCACCATTAGCAGTGTATTTTAAGACTATGCTGCGGGTTTCAAATTAAGTGGTGGGTGCTATTGTGAGAAACGAAATAACTTATACTTTAGATAGATATGGCCCAGAAATGA